GCTACGAGAATGATTCCTGGTCTTAGAGGAATGTCTTATGAGGAGAGGTTAACGGAACTGAATCTGTTCAGCCTCAAGCAAAGAAGACTAAGGGGGGACATGATCCAAGTATATAAGATTCTAACGGGTCTGGATGCTGTTCAGCCAAATGGCTACTTCAATATTAGTTTAAATACTAGAACTCATCGCCATAAGTGGAAATTAGAGGGAGAACATTTTAAAACGAATTTGAGGAAGCACTTCTTTACAAAGCATGTAGTTAGAGTATGGAATAGTCTTCCTGCTAGTGTAGCGGAAGCTAAAACCCTGGGTTCCTTTAAATCAGAGCTAGATAAGATTTTAACAACTGAGCTATTAGTTAGGTTTTCCCCAAACGAGCTTGATGGGCCGAATGGCCCCCTCTCGTTTGTAAATTTCTTATGTTCTTAAAAATTCCTTTGTCTCGCACGCCATCAAACTGTTCAATTCTCATTGGGGGGCAGGAGGGGGAACAGAAGGACATTTTGACAATAGACCACATGAATGTGCAATTAACCCGTGGAATAATTATTTATTATTACTATCTTCTCACTGCTATTTATTAGTCTTTCCTATATTTTTATGTTAGATGCTTTGTAATGTATTGCTGTACTGCAATGTGTAACTGTACTATGAGGCCGGTGTATTGTTACTGCTAGAAACTGAATTTCCCAGAGGAACCTTCCCGAGGGATTAATAAAGTCAGTCAATCTGTCTGTCTGTCTGTCTGTCTGTCTGTCTATCTATCTATCTATCTATCTATGTATAGTATGTGTGATTGGGATGATATTCAATAATTACTGTCACATATCCATTTTTGTGTCATAATTAATGTTTCTGATGTGCTACATGTTTTGCTTAATTAGAAAGACAGAAAACATGCTATAACATTTAAAGGGTATCAAAGATGTGACCATTGAACCAGAACCATTACTAGAAAAATTGGATTCGGATCAGGGCACCCGAGTGTCATTTATGCCGAAAATCCATCATTTTCCCAAGAAAAGCACAGAAGACCCGTGGAAATGCTTGGAAAGAACCCAGACTCTCAATCTTAATGTCAAATCCTGGATGCAACATGATAATGCTGCTTTCTGGCTGGTTAAATATTAACTGGATGCACAAGGTTAATATCAAAGTAAATTTCACGACAATCAACTAAAACTGTTTGCATTTCCAATTTATTGGAATAGTGAGAAAAGTTGTAAATGTAACCATACACCCTGTGCAGCCAGTAATCCAGTGCATGGTTGTAGTTACTTTTCTCTGCACAATGATGCCAAAACAAAACCGTAACTTCAATAAGAATAAAACTTACCTATTTGAAAAGTGACGTGGAAAAAGTAGACAAGGCAGAAGAGTACGACCAGTGGAAAGTGTCTCATGGTAACTGCTGCATAATCCTCCGCACGATCGCGATGAAAAGGTACTGCGGCTATCGCGATTTAAACAGGCCAAGGGGAGCTCTCTCCTAATGATCAGGTGCCACCTTGCGTCAGTCTGGGTGCGAGTCGGGCCGGCCTCCCCCCTCTTAAAGCGGAGGAAGCGCCCTGTCAGGATGCAGCGGGGTTCGGACAGGATGAGGGGGGCATTTCCTCGTCTTGGAGCGAGATGGCAGAGAGGCCAGTGGACAGCAGAGAGGGGGCCGTCAGATCCTGGAATGGAAACCACAGGCCCAGCCCGAAGGGGTCCGCATCGTGCAGTTCCATGCTAGGCCAGGGGGGGGTGCAGTTTTCATTTAATAAAGCCTCTGTCCTTTTATTTCTGATCATCAGGTAAGAGGATCAGGGCCACCCACACGGGGGCAGAAGGGGGACAGCTTTCAGACACCCGGACACTAGAGGGACATCGATCTGACAGCAGGCTCAGCAAATTTTTGCGTCAGTACCCTCCATTCGATCCGTCGCCGACCGGGGGCCGCTATTCAATTTTTGAAAAGGATAACGCAAAATAAAAATGAAAAAAACGCAGCTTATGTTGCTCCGCAGCAAAGGCACACATCATCTCTCGGCTCTGTTTAGAGCAAAACACATGGAGCATGTTCACTTTCGAGTTTCCCCGGGTTGTGGGGGTGTGTTGCCGTGACTCGAACCGTCATCTCACACCACTGCGGTTGCCGGGGAGCAGCTCTGAACCAGAACCATATGATCACACACAAGATCTTCGTGAAAAATTCCCGGCAGTCAGGTATATTAAGCTTTTTCACTAGTTCCAGATCTGTGCCTGGGCTTTTTGATGAGGGTTCACACCAGCCCAAGCTGCCCTCACATTCTGCTCAAGATGACATTTGACTTGTGGTGACATCATTCCTCTGGTCACCTCGCATTTTGATTTTGCTGCAAAATATTTCAGCAGCAAGTCTGTTCAAAAAAACATGACATACCTGTGAACTTTTTTTATAAGAAGTTCATGAAGCCAGATGCGCTTGTGTTACAGCAGGTGGCCAGCAGGTGGCAGTAGATAGGACCCATCTAATAAAACCAAAGGGGAGGAATTTGTAGGATCAGATGAGCTTCTAGGCTCCCATGTGCCCTGGATGTTCATTGGTGGATTCACAGGAATAGAATTCCTGTTCATGTTTGAAGTTTTGTATATTTAACCTTCATCTCTGTTCTCGTTAGACCCAGTCCCAGTGACCTTACTGGAGCATTTGAACCTTTTACACTTACATAACCACTGTTGCTTCCCATCCCATTTCCTGTTGCTATCGTGCACCTTTCCCCACATGGGATTAAAAATTTACCAGAAATCAGGAAGTCCAGCATTCATCTTGCAGAACAGCAAAACATTCTCGAAACACGGCTGTGATACAGGATGATGCTAGCTTCGGTAAGCTACTCTGCACGAACATGACAGTGATAGACTGCAGGATGTGCAAGCGAGGATGCACGATAGACAGTGGACAAAGAAAAGCTGTTAGGATCCACCATCTTCCATAACCCTAAACCAGTCACAATCCCTATAGAGGCATTAATACGCATGTGCATTTATCTACCACCTAAGAGAACCATAAGAATAAAAAGGTTATACAGACGGTCCTCTACTTACGAACTTTCACCTTACGAACTTTCAGACACGAAGAGGACTGTAAGTCCATATTGTGTAAATTGGGCTCCCATTTCCTGTCCGCAACATCAATTTTTTTTTCCTGCACACCAATTCCGCCTAGTACGACTCCTGCCCGCTACTCCCGCCGCGCAGCAGTGTAGCGTGCAAACTCCCAGCATCCCAGTTCTTTGTACTTGAGTATACCCTTAAAATGATGTTGAATAACGACTTACGAACATTTCACGTTATGAACGGCCGTTCGGAACATATCTCGTTCATAAGTAGAGGAGCGTCTGTATATAAAAACTGCAGTATGTTATATAAATAGTGATCATGCAGTGGTAATGAAACAATACGTTTACCTCAATAAACAGCAGCATAAATAACATTAAACATATGGTGTAGTATCCTATGTGTATTGCATTGCCAACTTAGACTGCATCCAGACTGCACCAACATACCGCCCCGGAAGGGAATTTTAATTACTTAAATTCCTGCAGGTCTTATACTCTATCAGTCTATCAGACTGACTAGCTTCCCATCCTTGCATCCCCGAAAGAGTCACGGTGAGTTTGGAGCCCAGCAAAGCACGTGTCATTGCACTCGATGATTGGAAGATGCAAACTTCACGAGCACATTGGGGTTGGAAATTGAACTCACTGTCCTGAGGGCCTGAGGCCACCATGGATATCTCCAGCCTTACCTTCTGGGTGAATATGAGAGGTGGCTGTACAGAGAAACAGCAGAAAAAAGGATGTGATTTTCTAGTTGGGAAGAAAGCAGCTTCACAAAGCCTCACTCACTTTTTGACAAAAGATGCAGTTGTCCCCACAGGCCACAAACAGCTCCCATGATTCCTTTTAAAAGTTTTCCAATCCAAAGATCCCAGACAGTCCACGTTTTTGCTCTCACCCAGCTCCCAATCACACATGTACGAGGAATTTGATGTTCTTGATTGGCTGGGAGGGATCAAAAATGTGGACTGCCTGCGGATCCCCCCTGGACTGGGTTGAAAAACACTGCTTTAGACAAAGAAAATGCTTTGCATTAAAAAATACATTTATCTATCAAGATTGGGGCATAACTTTCATGGTCTCTTTCAAATGGGTTGGTGGCTGGTAAGGGTTTTGTTCGGGTGGAATTGATCTGTTTATGTATATGGTTATGGAAATGAGTCTTGAATTCTGTGGAATCTATGGGTTTTAGAGGAGCACTGAGACTAATTTAACAGTGTAGCTTATGGAGATTCTTTCAAAAGTGTTTATGTCGCCTCACCTGATTGGCCTTGGTGTCATCTTGGGCGGGTCTAAGGTGTTTGACTGACAGCCTCCCTGCAGCTTTCCCTGGTCATGTATGAGGGTACCAGGTTCCAGGCCCGTTGTTAATGCTAGGCAGTATTAGCATGGTTAGGTGCCCATTACAAGGTTACCTTTAAACCTCATCAGCTCCAGTTGACAAGCTCAACAACAAATTGGGGGCAGCGTGTGGCTCAGTGGGCTGAGCCTGTGTGCCTGTAATCAGAAGGTCACCAGTTCAGCCTCAGCGCATCAATAGGTCCTTGAGCAAGGCCCTTAACCCCCAGCTCCCTGGGTGCCGCAACAGGTGGCTGCCCTTCGTGGACAAGAGCAAGTTGAGGGTGGCATAAAAAGAAAATATCCCCACGGGGATCAAGAATTTTTATTATTAGCAACCTCAATACAGAAAGCAGAAGATTGGCAATCGACCACAAATTCACCCCCTACTTCCTTTAACTATTTTTCTTAAATAGTCATGGCGGCCCTAAAGTCACATTATTGTTGTAAGTCTACTCTTGTTAACTGCGTGGAGTTTCTGCCGGCTACTCCACCTTCCCCCCACAGACCAAGACATAGGCTCTGGACCCCCCCACGACTCATCTCCCGAGGGGGTGCTGATGTACCTTTGCTTGTCACTCCGGCTGCACCCTCAAGGGTCTGCCAGCTGCACTCCAGCTGTAAGTAAATATACCTTTAAGTCTAATTTAAGGTACAGAAATTGATGCTGAGGAACATCCTCAAGGTACAAAGAACATCAATGTACCCCCAATGGTACAAAAATGTTAATTTCTGTACCTTAAAAGGTACAAGCACCTACAGCTAATGATATAACTGGCAGACCCTTGAGGGTAAAGCCCCAGTGACAAGCAAAGGTACTCTTTATTCTGACAGTGTAGGGCATCACGTGGGCTTTGGGCAGTACTGATAAGCACTCATCCAAGGAGAAAGATGTCACAACAATTGATTCACTTTAGCATTTACGTAGATTTTGAAATATTACAATGCCAAATCTTAACACTTTAAACTACAACAAAAAAAAATGAAAAAACGAAAGAAAAAGAATAAACAAAGGCAGCCTGATCTGATCCCGCCACGCAGCAGCGTAGCGTGCGTACTCCCAGCATCCCAGTTCTTTGTACTTGTGTATACCCTTAAAATGATGTTGAATAACGACTTACGGACATTTCAAGTTACGAACGGTCATTTGGAACGTATCTCATTCGTAAGTAGAGGAACGTCTGTATACTTCCCAGCTTGGCATTTTTACCGGGATGCAATCATACTCATATGAAAATGCTATTTGATTATATTAAGTTCAATAAATTATGTAACAAAGTTATATTTGAAAATGTGACTTGTGTTGATCATATCAATGTGTAATAATAATTTAGTGTAAATGTATATGCTATTTTTTGTTTAATTATTTGGACGATTGGCTGGTGGGGCTCTCTCGCACAGCACCCCATATGAGAAACTCCGAGTGTGACCTACTATGTGTTAATTTACTTTGGTGTTGGTTTGCATTAAATTATTTTTACGGAAATTTTCTTGATTGCTCATCATTGCATTCTTAACGATGCTCCAAAAGTTACCCAAGCACGGGCCCAAGTCCCCCCCCCCCCACCATCAATTAAATCAGCAGCATCTCAGACAAAGTCGATTACACGGTAACAGTGTTCAGACTCTGGCTGTAAAACTTCTTTTAGCGTCTCTGAGCCCACGGGTCATATGAAGGTACAAAACCGGTCCTTCTCCTCTCTCCTCTCACTTAAAACAGCCTCTGCGTGTTAAAGATTCTCAGCTTGGTCACGAAATTGAAGTAGAAGAAGGCCAGGGAGAGCAGCAGGTTCTTCACCAGGTATAGGAGTGGCGTCACAAAGCCGAAGATGGCGACCAAGCCGATGCGGATGAAGAGGAAAGGGACATCCTGCAGTGCAATCCCCAGTGTGGCCAGCAGGGGGTTCCCAGGCATGATAACAACCCTGAGTACTGACAGGTAGCTGGATATGTAGACGGGGAACACCCAACGTGAGTAGAAGACGATGGGGTGCATAGCGGCCCGTACCATCTCCACTGTGTCGAGCCAGAACAGGAAGCCATCCACGAAGACCTCGGCCCGGCAGTCGCTTGCAGACAGGAAGCGGAGAGGCCCCGAGACGTACTGCGGGGGGTAGTAGACTGGCAAGATGGTCGGCTGGGCCATCGGGCCAGAGCTGTACTGTCTGCCCGGGTTCCCAGACAGAGAGTGGCTGGGGATGGTGCCATTAGAATCGGGCCTGAAGTTCAAGTCTGCACTGTGTACCACACTGGTCAGCAGAGAGGAAGGAATGTCGGCATCCCTTTGCGGAGGATGAACTGTCGGAGAAAAAGGAGGGAAAACAGACACCAGTATCTAGGTGCAGGAAGTGCACTGGAAGATTCAGCCCTGCCTCTGACTTTGACAGAGTTATAGAACCCAGTCTGCATGCATCTTGCACATTGATGGTCCCCAGGAATCCTGGGAAGCCCAGCATCTTGATCAACAGCAAAGTCAGATGAATATTACACACTAAAACATTTTACAAATGCCAGACTCCAAGCCGGAGGACAAAGGGTGGCTCACTTGGTTAATGGGCTTCATGTGAACTTTACACTTGACACAAAACCACCAGTCAGAAGTCTCTGAAATTGACCCAAACTGTTACCGATTTTTGAAGCCACTCTTTCTTTTTGCTTTGAAATTCTTGCGTTTGTATCCAGCTGTGCAAAATTTGAATACACTGGATTTCTGCTAAAGAGACGATCAAAGACAACAATGAAATGAGCGTGATGGTGTTAAAAGACAGTAGAATAAATAAATAGAATATTAAAATATAGTTACAATTGGTGTCCTGCTTAAGGTGAAAGAGTTACATACAACATATGTCTGTTGAGATATAATTGAAGTAACCTTTTCAGAGAAAGGCATCGTAATTGACGACCATTAAAGGAGAGAAAGACACAGAGCAAAGGATAGAGAAGGGGATGGATGAAAAGAGAGAGTGCCCTCTCACCCTCGCCCGTGAGACGGCACTGGCGAATCCGCTCTGTGATGTCAATGCAAATGAGGGAGAGCAGGACCAATGAGACGGGGAGCTCTGTGAAGGCGTTATGGCGTAAGCCGCTGCTGATCTGTACCTGTGGGAGAGCATGGGTGTGGGAGGAGAGTAAAGGAAAATGACTTAGATTACCTAGTGGGGGGAGGGGGAAGTTGTGGTTGAAGCAACAGGTGCATCCTAAACGAGGCAACGGGCAGACGCTGAACGAGGCAGCGGGCAGACGCTGAATGAGGCAGCGGGCAGACGCTGAACGAGGCAAGGTGGCAGACACTGAACGAGGCAGCGGGCAGACGCTGAACGAGGCAGCGGGCAGACGCTGAATGAGGCAGCGGGCAGACGCTGAACGAGGCAAGGTGGCAGACACTGAACGAGGCAAGGGCAGACGCTGAACGAGGCAGCGGGCAGACGCTGAACGAGGCAAGGTGGCAGACGCTGAACGAGGCAAGGGGCAGACGCTGAACGAGGCAACGGGCAGACGCTGAACGAGGCAATGGACTAATACTAAAAGGGAAACAAGCTAACACTAAACCAGGCAACAAAACGAGGCAACAGGCTACGGCTAAAAGGGAAACAGGCTAACACTAAACGAGGCAGCATGCTAAGGTTAAATGAGGCGACAGTGGAATGCTAAATGAGGCGACAGTGGAATGCTAAATGAGTTGACAGGCGAATGAGGGTAGCGGAAACACATGGCGTAGGGGGCTGTAAACCAGGTCAGCCCTGACTGATCTGGTCTAGCAGTGAAGAGTTGTTTGGGCCAGTATTGATGATGGATGCATTTTTCATGGTACTGTAGTTGAGGTCACTGCATACTATCACTTTATTACTATGTTCATAAACTAGCCTGTTACCTAAAATGTGTGAGTGATTTAATGGTATACAGGGGTGGGGTTGTGGTTTCTGATGTTCCAAAAACTAAATAAATAGCTAATGTGTAGAGTCAGATTATCATAGCTAGCTGGTTAGCAGAACATGCTGCTTCAGCTTCTCATAAATAAGGAACACATTTATTACATATGTTGTGCAGTTTGTGGTCAACAGGAGGCCCACACAAAAGCGAGGTTTGAGTGCTGGGAAATACCACTGTTGATCTTGTATAATCCTTACTGTGATATAAATATATCATTTCACTATAACCCTGAATAATGGTTATGGAAGATGGATGGATGGATAAACCTCTTCTGTGTTGCAGTTGAGCACATCTATAATTTTTCCCACTTTCTGGTTTTTTGATTGACAGGACTTCACAACATTGAAAGACAGGATCCTCGTCAGCTTGAATGTTGCCCCATGGGTGGGGGTGTGGGGGGTGGGGGGGGCGGGGAATCGCAGTGTAATTCAAAAGAAGACTGGAAATTCCTTCCAACAAACATGCACAAAATAGCTGAAAGACAAAAATCCAACCTATTTAGCAAAAAAATAAAAACAGCAGCTGCTTGCATTTGTTTAGTCAGCCCCCGGCTGGTTTCCTCAGAGGAAAGTGCCCCCCCCGGGTGGGGGTCATCAGCAGTGGCCCCTTGTCATCCTCTTAGGGGGAGATAAAAGGCCATCTGTCTCAAGCTTTCTAACATATGAAACTTGTCAGTCTTGGGACAACAAAGGGGGGTGACAACAGCCTGGCTAGTGAATCACATCGTCCTTGGAATGCTGCTCTACACTGGTGGGGGGGGGGGGGTGGCGGGTAGGGGGGTAAAGCGGGGCACCGCTGACAGGCTCT